TTTCTAAACATCAATGAGCTTGATGGGCCGCAGGGTACAGTCGATATTGATATAGTTTGGTAAATTGGTCGTTTTCAACATAATATATTTATTAGGTAGGTATGTAAAAATAATTATTTTTCTTAAAAATTATTACAAATACCTGCGTAAAAATAATATTGTAAATATATATATAACTATATAATATTCATCGAAATAATATATTCTACTAACTATTAAATGTTTAGCATATTTTATTTATTCTCTAAGAGGTGTCATAATAATTATCAAAAAACGTGTAGGTGCAATGTACTTAGAATAGGTATATTATAATAATGATTATTTGTCCATTAGTACCATAGAGTACACGAATTATATATTATCTTGATTTATAGTAGAGTGAAAAAGACAGATTCTGGAACCAGAACCTGCTGGCAGATCCCTATGCTCTCGAGCAGAACCCTGACACACGGCAACAGAGCCCGCCGCCGACGGCAGAACCCACCACCGGTCGCGTATACATATGATTGGAACAAAGTTTTGATAATAATGGCTGACAGTAGTCTCTCTCATAATACGATTTTTGGAAGTCTGTATAGGCCTTATACCAGTGGCGTCCGCAGGATTTTTCAATGGGAGGGGGGGGGCTTGAAAATTAGTTACAAATTTATTTTTATTTTGTCCAGTCTAATAATTTCAGACGTTTATTTGAGGTATTTTAAAATGTTTGTAACTTTTCAACTTTTCTGGTAGAAAAAATGTTCTTATCATAAGCTTCGATGCCCAGTGTATGTTTTTGGAAGCAAATTGGATCTAGTTGGTACTTTTAGGAGGTTGACATTGAATCTGCTCAGTGCTTTTAAAAGTAGGTACCTAATTGGAGAAAAAAAAATGAAAACTTATTTAAATTGTTTGGTAACAATAGCTTGGTTTTTGGTTATACCGTCCTCACTTGTATTGTATTTGATTAATTAAATTTTTTTTTATAAATGTCAATAAAAAATTATTTATACGATCAAAAAGCTTAAAAATGTAATACGTAAGTTTTTTTTATTATAGCTAAAATATTAACGATACATATGCATTTAAAGTTCAAAACAATTTAACCAAAGTTAATTTGTAGTTAAAAACTTATAAAATATTAAAATATATGTATAGCTAAGGCTAGAAATTTAATACAAGGTCTTTAATACAAGTAGTTCACACTTTTACCGAAAAATTACAGATAATTTATGAAAATTGGTATGCAAATACAATGTTTTTTAAAAAATGAATTCATTATTCTGGTAAGACATATATGAAATTTACGTCTTACTTACTATAGTTGACAGTTTAAAATTGAAAATTTTTTTTAAAAAGTAATAATAATACGGGCAATGGGGGGGTCTTCAGCCCGTTAGCCCCCCCCCCCCCTGCGGACGCCACTGCCTTATACAGTATACTAGTTGTATTATTTTTAAAATCAGCGCGAAAGTCTTCATATGGAAACACTTCAGAATTTAAGTGAACCTTAAGGTTTTTTAATTGGCAGTGATCGAATCGCCCAGCATCATTTTCAATATTTTTTTTTCGATCTGTCTGTAATCCAAACAGCACAAATCTCGGTTTTTCAAGCAAGCTGCTGGACTTTACAGTCCACGAATGAGAAGTATTTCTTGGAAGTATAGGGTATTCATTTAGATCCCAAGTTCGGTATGCACATGACAGTGTTCTGTGTGAATCTATTACTTTTTCCAGTCTTAATTTTTCTCTATCACTGACTTTGATAATGGGCATCTTCCAAACCACCTTAGTAATAGTTCGATTGTAATTTTTTTATTTTTCTCAACGGCTGCGGTTGCACCCTCACCAACAACGTGTATCAGGTCGGTAGATGCACGATTTAAAATCAGTTGCTGATTACAATTAAGTAATATTTTTTATAGTCTTCACAAAATCCGAATAAATGTTTTAGAGGGATACACCCGGTAAATACATGGCCGCTCATAAAATTTTTATTATCTTCACCATCCATTGCCGAATCCCAGCCCGCGTTCTCCAACGTATTCAAATCGTTTGGAGTATACGAGCAGTATGCTTTCAAACGAGAGGAAACTCCAGGTGTTTTTAATTTTTGTATTTCTATTCCATTTATTTCATATCGCATTTCAGAGAATAAAAATGCTAATCCATTATTTGAAAAACGAACATCTCCAACAGCATCGGCAGGTTTTTTTACTTTTCCCTCGATGAAAATATAACTTTCACACGGTAAAGTGTACGCGTCCATATTTAAAATATTTATCCTGATTTCATCGTTATTTGATAATGACATGGTTGAGTACGGAGTGAACGAATGATAATTCATTTGCGTTATTTTACACTCATCGACATAGTCGGCCGTTAAGGCTATAAATACGAGTCATCCATATTTATTTTTAAGCTTGCAACGAACGGAGAAAATTCAAATTGTTTTTAGTGAGCTTGCTATCGTTTTTCGGTTTCGATGTTGACTTCTTAACGGCAGACAGTAAACTGACAGGTTTTTTGATTGTACCGGGTTGATTTGTAGACGACTGTTATTGGTTCACCGCGAAGATTAATTAGACAGTCGTTTTGATCTTTTAGCGCGATATTTACTCTAGTTACTGATCTGGTGTTGATAGCATAAAAAACTGAATGTCTATAGGTACTTCAACGATTTTATATACCCTGCAGGTACAGATGGATAAAGCTCGTGTATACTGTGTATAGCCTGACATAGATTGAGCCAGTAACTAAGTTGCACTCTACTTTAATACTGTTTATTTTCATTATGTTGACAATATTTTCAGATTCATAGGTAAGTAGCACCAGTAGGTAGTGTATAGTACATTTCTAAACCCTAATAATTTAGCTATACTATTTCCAACTGATAAGTCCACGTCATGACTACACGACATAATGCACTTTAATGTCCTACTGTTTGCTTTTAATCCAAACGCAGTGACATAGTCTGGTAACATATCTTGTATAATACTCTCTAATTAATCCAACTCATACGTCCCCGTAGGTATAATTATGTTTTCGTTCTGTCCGATAACATTTCGGAAACCGATAGTATTACATCCAGGCTCGATGTTTGGTATTGAATTATTTGTCTGTAAGCTCAAAATGCATATTTGTGCTATACTTTCTACTTCCAACGGTGGAAAAATTCGCTCGAGTTACCGTTTAATGTTATCGTGTAGGTACATGATAAAAATTTTAAACACAAGTGTCCATAGTTTGTAGTATTATATTTCTGTTCTCTGCTATAATTGAAATTGATATTGCACCCGTGAAAATATTTTTGTACTTCTAATGGAGGTGGTAGATTTCCAAAACTGTCATAATATTGAACTTGATTTCCGATTTTTTTATACGCTACCCAGTGAGTACCTACACCGTTTTCCGTATCCAAGTTAACAATCGCTGATTCTATTCGTTTACGACGAGCAGGCAACCTATCTCGAGTAAACACGCCGACGAAATGAGGTACCTATTTTAATCAAACTAGCCATTTTTATAAGTTCGAAATCGTATAAGGCTCTTCTGCCACTCAACCAAATATACTGGTGTTTTTAATAAAAATGTAGGCTGGTTTAACAATTTGTTTGTTAATATAGCGTTAATAAAATCTTTATTAATTTAGAAGTATAATATTTGTTAATTTAAATAATAAATCAATAATATGTATCATTGATTCTACAATATGTTTATCAATGCTTCGGATAAGATTATTATTTAATTGATCAAGGATTTATTTGAATCAACCATCGTTTTGTTAATTTAATCACTCATTTGTTTAAAAAACAAAATATTTTGTTAAAACTTCAAATTACCTTTATTACTTATATTTGTTAATTTAACCAATGAATTAATAAGATGCAGTTTTGTTCATTCTACATTATATTTTATTAATACCAAAAGTTAAAATAACGGATAAAAATTTTTATTCTCATTATTAATAAATTATTTATATATCATATAAATATAATTTTGTTGAATCTAAAAAATATTTATATTATTTATAAGTAAAGTGAAACCTCCCCAACGGACTTTTTTGGGAATAAACTATAAACATCTACAACCTAAACCCTTTGAATAGCGGACACAATTTTAGTGACATTTCAGACATTCTAAGTGTCTGTTTAATAGAGATTTCAGAGGGTATATGTTAATTAGTAGATTAGTGTCATAATTTATTTGTTTAAAAGAAATAAAAACAGAATACATTTTAAAATATTTTATTAAATGTATTATCTAATCATTAAACATATAATATTAATATATAATAGTCCTAACACAGTAACACATGATATACAAATATATTATATTATATTAACATTAAAAATAGTGTATAATATTATGATTGTTATTAAACAATACACATATTAAGTATTATACCTATTGGTAATTTATAAAAAATTAAATCTGTAGGTACCTATAGAAGTATAGATGTACATGCAATTAGTTAAGTATGTATAATATTGTAGTTTGGCAATCTAACTATATACATAATTAATATTTATAGTCACTAGTCTAGTAGGTATATATACAAGTGCACAACTAATAATAACAATATTAAGTGCCTATATGGCTATATATAGATTATAAATACAAAATAGTTACACAATAAGCAAATTAATTTAAAATAACATAATATAAGTAACAGGTTATTAGATAATATTATAGTAACAAAAACAAAAAAACTAATATTATATATAAAAACAAGCAGGTATATTAACTATTATTATGTATATTATTTAATATTTATTATTATAATTCTTTTTTTTTTTGATAATTTCATAAACTGCATAGGTAGGTATATAATATTTAATAAAATGTATAATAGGTATTCATAACACGATTACAAAGAAATAATAATAAAGTTATTTATAATCATTATATCAAAAAACAGAAAGTATTATCTAATGGTAAATGGTAATATATCTAGGTACCTACCTATACTCTACAGTCTATACTATGTGTATACCTTATATTATATTCTACACATTTTATCATATTAATTTTGATTTTAATTCATTTGAAATTTGTTTTGATACTACGTTTGACTTATCATACTTAGTTGTTATATTGTAAAAAAAAGTTTGTATAAACAGCCATACGTCACCAGATTCTAGAGGATATTCCACGTTGAAGACATGGAATATCTTAAAACATATATCAAACGCCTTGTAGGCGGAAAACATTTTGTATTTAATGTTATCTAAATACACTAGAATTTGTTTAGGATCAAATAATGATCCTACAACTAACAAGCATGGCTGTATTGGACCGTTTTCAGCCATCTTTTTCAATGTTAACTCCATCGCCAACGCTGTTGGAGTTACAACCAGGAATGAATTCTGTGAGTCCCTTATACTAAATTTTATGAAACCTCTTTTTCCATTACTATCTTTAGTTGATTTTTTTGAGGTGGGAATGAAAAAACAATGCAATAAATACATTATTATCAACGTTTTTGAATCTGGAAACAAAATTAATTTTATTCAATTTTATTTTTATTATTCTACAAAGTATAAGCTTTAAATATAATATATTTAAAATATACAACATAAATCTACCTAAGATGTATAAATACTGCTTTGGTACATAAAGACAATTATAACATCTAAATGTTTAAATTAAATATATATAGGTATATAAATAATTACCAGTTGACATATTTTGCATTGAACTAAATGTTTCTAATAATTTTTTGCTTTCACAATCTCTTACTCTCTCTTTCAAAATGTTAATTAAATTATCCTTATTCTCTTCAAAAACAGTTTTGAAATTTGTGTAATCGCTAAACACATTTTGAAAATCTATATCAACCTAGAATGAAATAGACAGTAATTTTTATTTTTTTTTATTGGAACAAACAATAATACCAATCATGTGTTTTATTATACCATAAAAATAATAATATTATAGACTTACAAGAATTTATACAATTAAACTAGACAATTTTTAATTTTTTTGTAATTTTCAGTATTTTTAATTATAGGAGTTTTACACTAAGTACAACTGAAAATATATTTAGTAGGTACCTAAATTATAAAATGTAATAATGTATATATAATTTCCTACCTATATTGTATAAAATCCATTAATCCATAAAAAAATATATTTTTTTTTAGTTTAATTATTTTAGTAAGGACAATATTAATACAACTGTAGGAGTCTATTACAGTTGTATTATGAATAATACATTTATTTTCAAATGCATAGGTATAAATTATAAATGCAGTAGGTATAAAATTATATGGTGATCATTGCAATGTAGAAGTAGGTAACTAGAATACATAATTAAACAAAGGTGAGGCCTTAGAGAAAAAATACTTATTTTCATAGAATATCTATGAACTTATTAAAAAATATTTCAGACTTACAAGTTTATAACCCATTGGTTGAGTATACTGTTGCCATTTATTAAAAATGTCTGTAGCATTATTTTGTTTTATATAATTTAGACGGTAATTAATAGTTTTTCTCCAAATTTCTTCTATTTCTGGCCATGTTAGATCTTTATCATTTAGATATGTCGACACTAATTCAGAATCAGGGTCAGTAGCTGTGAATTATATACATAATACTATAAGAATTAAGAGTAAATATTATATTCTGTGTTACCTATAGATAGGTTGATAGGTAGGTATACATTATTAATTTAAAGAAGCTCAGGGGGGAGGGGAATATTTTAAATCAGCAGTGGTCAGGTGGCAGAGGCGGTTTGAGTACTTATGCAATATTTTTTGATACAGATTCTGAAATATATTAGGCGTTAGGTAGGTTGATGCTAACCTTTATATGTACAAAATTTACATTTATTATAAAGTCCACTGAAGACATGGATGGGTGGCTACGTATGTCATGTACCATGTGTCTTACAACAACTAGTATCATATTTTCAAACTGCCCGTGTCAGGGGGTACCTAGGTTGTAGGTATGTTAGCCGTTTACTCCACCAGTGACTGTGTTCAAAGCCAGCATGGCAGTATAAAGCAAATATAGTATAATATGTACTAATACTCACACATAGGTAACTTAAATAAATGTTGAATTTTCATAAGTTAATACAAATTGAAATATTTTTCGAATAATTATTTAAAATTAATCATATTACCGAGTATACTATTTTCTTTGTCCATTGTACGACTCAATGGTTTTGAAGATCTCTCTTTACCAATTGCTGCAGGTATTAAACCATTTTGTTTCATATACCTTATGATCCATATAATTTGCCTTTTTTTGGCATCTTTTAGAAAATAAGTATCCTATAACAAATTACAAGCACATTAAATTACATAAATTTTATCAATTCTTAGGAGAAATAATATAAACTAGGTACCTACTTTGATTTCTGTGGGAAAAGTTCCAATTATAGCATCAGCTACTAAATTAGCCAACCTAAATGTCGTATGGTATTCTCTTTTTATTAAGTCATTAATGATAATTTCAACCAATACATTTCTACAACTCTCATTAATAATGTTATGTTTTTCAAAATAGTTCAGAACAAAAGATCCTTGAGAATAATTTTTCAAAATGGTATGTAATTGAAAAATTTGATTTTCAGTTGTAACTTTTGAGACCTTTTGAGAAATTTCATCAGCATTATTTATAATAATAATATATTTATTTACTTGATATGCTCTAAGATGGGAGTTATAAAAATCAATTTCTATTTGTTGTACAATAAACTGAACTCTGGAATTTTGCTTAACAAATATAATTTCTAAAATGTCATCATTTAAATGTGTTAAGAAATAACCTATTTTATATAATGTACCTATTCTATCTGTGAGTAACATATATATTGGTCACTTGTTAAATGTAGAACTCTTAAAATAAGTTGATTGTAATTACTATCATTTACATATTTATTATTTAAATTTATTTTAACATTAAGAGAAGAATTTAGAATATTGTATGCAAATTTGAATTGATATTTTTTGGCTAAGGACAAACAAATAAAACTTGATGTAATAGCATGTGCATATAGTTTCATCTCTTTGTGTTTGGCCTCATACCTAAAACACCATAGATTGTGCCAATAATTACCTCCTATCTGAACGTTCTTCAATTCCAGGTCCTCGTCATGTAAACATTTAGAGTTTAAAGTTTTAGAAGCTAGATTATCAAAATATCTGGGTCCTGAAACATTATCGAAAACCAGACTATTACACGCTAAATAGAAGTTCCAGTTAGCATGAGCCCTATCACATCGTAATTGATAAACAAACTGATATATTTTTTCTAAAAAAATATTCGAAGTCATAGCTCGAATACCTAGCTAATAGGAGGTATCAGCCATTCAGGTTTTCCCCGAAACTTTTCGGAGACGCATTCAAACCATAACGGCTGACCCTCTAGATAGTATAAAAACCAGAACATACGTGTTTTATTTTTACAATCCATGCAATTTTTTATTTTATGAGCCTCTGTACCGCATAAGGGAGAAAGCATGTTTTCTAACGTGCTTCCGAAATAATCATGCACTACTTCTAAGACTGTAGAAAAAAAAAATCGCACTAATATTAAATATTAAATATATATATATTTACTCGAATTGGCGTCCATAGTATTTTAACAGAGTAGCACAGGAATAAAAATTTGAGGTACATAGGCGTCGAGAGTATAAATACGACTAAATCGGTAATATCGGGAGATTTTTATAAGAAAAAAAAAGGGACGATATACATTTCTAAAGCTAAACAATAAGGAATCCCGTTATACCCTAGTTGACAATGATATATTCGGTGGGGTATACTTTTCTAAGAAAAAAAAAAGGAATTGAAATCATTTTATGGGGTAGTGATTATGACGAAATGCATGAGTTGCTTTTAAAAAAAACTTAATAAATAATATTTTTATTAACATACATACCTGAATTATTATTTCGTATATAACGTGACAACGTGTACAAAATAAATATAATATTTTAAATAAAAACTGAACACAAATATGTTAACGGGTGCGTGATAACATATATACAAAACACGTTCGTGGACCGTGGTATAAATGTGATAACATATATCTTAGAAATAATTTTCATTAGATGATAACACGAATATGATAACATATGTACATTTGCTGTATACTATTCATAGACATTAATAATATTAATTATTAATATGTCTATGATACTATTACAAGTTAAATAGGGCTGAATATGTGACGGGGTGGCACAGTGGTACGGTGGTCGCTCACCAAACCACAGACTCGGGTTCGAAACCCGGTCGGACTTTTAAAAAATTGTTGAACTTATTTTCCCCGGGCGGCGAGTTCTGCCAGCGGCGGCCATATGTGTAAGGGTGCCCGCGGGGGAACGGCGGCGGCGGCTGGTGGGGGTTTGTATACGCGACCGGCGGCGGGATCTGCTGCCGCGTGTCAGGTATCTGCTCGAGAGCATAGGAATCTGCCAGCAGGATCTGGTTCTAGAACTGTCTTTTTCACTCTACTATATTTTATTTTAATAAATGAGAAGTAAAATAATATTTATTGTTTGTTGTTAAATGTTATTGCGGTACTGGTGTATTATATGTATAAAGTTGTTGATGGTGGTTGGCGGTAGGGGGTGTGGGGGCATAGCCCCCCGCGGGTTAGGTTGTGATTAATCATTGTCAGGAACGCTAATTTTTTTTTTAAGTTTTTGAGTGTCCCCTTTCTTTTATTTTTCCAATTCGAGGAATGCATAGGTATAGGTACACGCATTTGCACTAGAATTTTATTTTTTTTTAAACTAATATTTTTTTTCCAACAAGTAAAAACGGCCAACAAGATAAGATAAACTGCAGTCAGAGACAATCATTTATTTTGGTTTTATTATTTTTCATCCGTGTGTTATTACTTACTAAAATTAAAAATATTCGACGATTATAAGTTTATATGCTACAGCTAGTCTATACATGTTTTATTTATTTGATATATTATATTTATTATTATATTTTATTATATTTATTATATTATATTATATTTTATATCCTCCAATAAATCATTCAGTTTGAACAACAATAATTGTGGACCTACCTTATGAATTCGTCACGTTCGTTATGTTTCGAACAATCGATTGTTCTACCCTTCCGTCCCATAATTCGTTCGGTGGTCCCCACTACAATAAAGTTTCTGTAAGAACAAATACAAAGTAGAACTAGTATTTTGGTTAAATTTTTTTTGGACTTTTCCGCAGACCATCGAGATATTGTCGCGTTTGTTCGTAGGTCCTGCATGGTCACGTACACCATACGATTCTTACACACCAACGTGATTTTCATATTATATATAGTATACATAGGATCATATATATAGGACATAGGTACATCAGATTATAAAGTAGGTACCCGTAATTCATATTATATTATCGGAAAATAATTGAAATGTCAAAACCTATATATAGATAACGCAGTGGCGTACCCAGGATTTTAGAACTGTGGGTCTGCCTTACTTACGAGAGGCCACTGTGTAGAAACTTCAACCAACTACCTATATAGTTAGGTATTACAAAGTCACTCTGGGCTCGCGATTTACCTTATTAGTTATTTACATCACATTTTGATACCAACGTTCAATATAACTATATCACATATTTTTAAGTAAATTGTAAAATTTACTTACAAGCTTTAATAGCTATATTTAATTTATTTTTATTTTTATTTGTTGCATTAAAATTTATATTCAATTAAAAAATTTACCTGACATATTTAAATCATTAGAAGAAATTATACAAATTTATTATTTTATTTGTATACGTAGGTATATTTGCAGTATATTTATTTTATTTTAGTTTTCAATGACTGATTTCATTTTCACAAGAGATATAGAATAGGTGGTTCTAAATTCTAATACAATAGAAAAGTCAAAAATAATACATTAATAAAATTTATATTTAATAATACCTACATGAAAATAATAGTAAAGAACTAGAACATTACAATCATTTTCTGCGCTTTTTCATTAGTGCGAATTATGTACTATATTATGTAGGTACTAATTATGTTAACAAAATCAATGGTTTGAGCTATGTTGCTTTCTATGCTCAATATGGCCAAATTTGATAGCCGGTCTTCAGTCATAGTTGAGCTAAGGGATGTTTTGAGAAGTTTTAGAACGCTAAAACTTCTTTCTGCAGTTGCACTGCTGACTGGTATAGTGTATAAAAAATTTTATACAAAGTATATAAATTTGGATATGAAGAAACCATGTCTCGTGATATCATGAATTTTCAATACATCATTTAATTTTAAAGGTCCAGTTACTCCAGTTTCAATAGTTTTGCCATTTGTTGGTAAACTAGATGTAATGAACGGTATTCCACTTCTATATCAATTTCATCTATGTCAACTTCATAAAATCTTATATAATGTCTATATCCAACATATTTTTATACTTGTGTTTATCGAATTTTAGGTATGTACATTATAAGTTGATAAGCTTAAACACGATTTCGTACGCGTTATTTTACTTCAATACTCAGTCTTCACAGCTGTATATACGATATACCCCTATATCATAATAGCAGATCTTCGATATTTTGAAGGGGGGGGGGGCACATATAAATTGTATAATTTTAATTTTAATTAATAATACATACACACTATCAATAATGATTATAATAAGTAATAATTAATAGTTGGTAGTATTATCCTTATCAACTGTATGTTTCATTTATATGATACTCGTAGTTACATAACAACTTGTCGACAGAAAATTGACAAGGGGCACGTGCCTCTCCTCTAAATTCACCACTGTACATAATTTTTTCAAATAAAAAAATGTTTATATAGTTTGCCATTTCGAGGGGCCACATTTAACTGGGAAAACAACTGTGGGTCAGCTGACCTCCCAAACCCCCCCCTGGGTCCGCCCCTGAGATAACGCGAGTCTACGTAGACTATAGTATATATGCGACCCATGGGACGTATACGGCAAAAGTCGATGAAATCTAGCTATCTGTACAACTTTTTTTTTAAATTTATACTAATAGGTATAACTAATACTTATTCAAAATAATATTAAAAAAATAAGATTACAAAAATACACTCTTAATATATTTTTTCAATACATTTAAAGTCATTTTTACAATTGCATTTTTTGAGTTTTCTAATAATTTTTTCATTTTTTAAGGGCATATATTTATAGCTGTATAATCGCTGCAACGATGGCATCCTCATTGAAACACGTCACCGGAGCCGCGGACAGGGATTCGAGAATCGTCAAGCAGCTCGAGTTCTATTTCAGCGACACCAATTTACCGTACGATAAGTTCCTGCAGGCCAAAATCAGGCTTAACGACGGCTGGGTGCCGATAAGCGTGCTCTTGACGTTCAAAATGCTGAAGTCCATCACCAGGGACTCGGCCGTGATCGCGTCCGCCGTCAAGGACGCCGTCGGCAGCATCGTGGAAGTCGACGAGACGGGCTCGAAGATCAGACGAAAACCGGAAATCGCCGCGCCCGCCCCCGATCGCCGGCTGTTCAAGGACATCGTCCAACGGTCGATTTATTGCAGCGGTTTCCCGAGGACGACCACCGTGGACGAACTGTTGGAGTTCGCCGCGACCTTTGGCGACAACGTCATCACGAAAACCACCCCCATGAGGTTCAAGTCCCAGGCGTTCAAGGGCGCACTTTACTTCACGTTCAGCACCAAAGACGAGGCGGAGAAGTTTTTGGCAAGAGAATCCGTCGAGTACAACGGCGTGGAAATAAAGCGTATGTGGGAGAGTGATTTTTTGGGAGATTTCAACGCCTACAGTCCATTCAATTACGCATAAAATCCGTCCGGGAACACTATACGTATACACGTCATTATAAAGGTTTAATTTAGTTTAATTGTCTTTATAATTTTATTTCTTTTAAACTAATATTTTTTTTTCGACAAGTAAAAACGGTCACAGGTAGTCGGCTATTTTTGTTTTATTATTATTCATTTGCGTGCAATTACTTGTTAGTTATTATTTTAGTTATAAATATCTGACGATTGTAAGTATTGCTATTTAGTTTATATATTATATACATTTGTTAAACTATTATTTGTTTTATTCTCAAATAAATCTTTCAGCTCAAAGAATAATAAGTGCAGTGTAATGAAATCGTCACATTTTGTTATGTTTCAATAATTAATAATATTAGTAGGTAATATTATGTAAATAGGTAGTATATTAATATACTATAGTTGTAGTATAGTGAATCATAATTATAATATTGCCAAAGTTAAATTACTTTTATTTATATTTTCTTCTATTGGTTGGAGACGTAACAAGCTATCAAAATGAATGTAAAACATGGCATCATCTCAATTATATTTTGTTTACATTCAATGGTTTTGTTGAAAACATGTAACGTTAGTTGTATCTTCAATAACAGTCAAACCATTTAACAGTTACATTTGTTGACTCCGTCTTACAAGTGCGTAACATAGCAAATTTTACGCTCTGCAGCAGAACACGTTTACCTCCCATCAGCTTAAGAATTAGAGCGAATTGACCTATTATAAAATTTAAAGGTACGATTATTATCTAGACAATGACATAGGCTTTTTATTATAGTTTAATTTTAAATCGAGTTATGAGTATTTTAAGATGTACAAATATCCATTAGGTACTTATAAAGCGTTATACATCAACAACGAACCGTGATACTATCATAGTTATATAATAGTATACTTTAGAAGTTTCAAGTACCCATACGAATAATATTATACAATCACGAATCACAACAAAATAACTAAAATAGTTATTCTAGGTTTTTTTTTATGTAATTTCGTCCAAATTTGAACTTAAAATGACTATTAAAATAAACTGTGATTATGTATTTTTTAGATTTTAAGGTAACAGAATAAACTAGGTACTTACGTGGAATTTCGTTTTAAATTGTCAATCCTTAGATATAAAAGTTGAGCATTTTATAAATTTTTAACTACAAAATAATTATTCAATTTTAAATTTGATAAATTTTGTCAAAATTCGATCTTTAAATGCTTATAAAAAAATTGTGAATATGTATTTTTAATATTTTTCAAACTGATATTGTAACAATATATCAGGAGCCTTCTATTTTTACACTTTTTGGCACAACAGATAAAACTTTAATGATATTTATAGAAAAAAAACTAAAAAAATTGAAAACTGAAAATGTCCGTCAACAGCTCAAAAAGAGTCAAAATATTTTCAAAATTGTATAGTGTATAGGAAATTATAATATAAATATTCAGTGAAATTTTCATGTATCTACAGTTATTAGTTTATGAATTACAACAAAATAAGGAAATAGCTATATGAGAAATTGGGTGAGTATTCAATGTTTCAAAAATTTTAATTTCAAACGCTCATAAAAAGTTGATTTGACTTTCTTATAGGCATTTTTTTTTTTGGATAGAGGTAGATTATGTTATAAGGTATCTTGAATTAAATTTTAAAATCTTAGATTTAAAAAGAAAAGTTTTTACGAATTCTTAACTCAAAATAATTTGCTAATTTTCGTCATTTTCAAGTATTTTGTCAATATTTGAACTTTAAATGCTTATAAAAAAAAACTGTGACTATGGATTTTTAATATTCTTCATCTGCCTTTGAAAAAATATACTAGGAACCTTCTATTAAATTTTCAAGTATTTTTACTCAACAAATAAATTTTTATTGATATTTATAAAAAAAAAACTAATAAAATTGGAAACTGAAAATGTCCCTAAACATGTTTGAACTGCAGTTCAAAATAAATCAAAATATTTTGAAAATGTTATCATGTATAGAAAATGCAAATTTTAACAACCAGTGAAAATTTCATGTATCTAAGGTCATTTTTTAAGAGTTGCTCCAAAAACCAAAATTACCAAAATTCCCGTTTTTCCTTAATTTTTCTTTTGTTTTTTACGTCGTTTTTGAAAACTACTGGGAAATTTTTACTTTTGACCCCCCAAAGTACCAACTATATAGATTCACTTTTTTGATACTCTTGAATAGATGTTAGGATTCATATTTAACAGTTATTTGTAAAAATGAAAACTTTTGGTGTCCTTAACAAAGTTACCATAGATATTTAAACTTCCATTGACAATAATATTGTCCATGTATGCAGTGTTACCTATACCTAAACCTAACTAACAAGGTATCACAATTATAAAACAATAATGTACCAATACTAAATTCAAACTGATTTTATTTTATTTTTTATTTTCATCTGGAAAAAGAATAAGTAGCTACTGTTAAAAAAAAAATAACTAATTCTACTAATTAATATTTTAAGTGCCTATGCAACTTGGTAAATAAAAATAAAAATAGAACATTTCTAATTAATTTAAAGTACCTACCTAGTCAATAAAAATTTTTTAATATTAACAAGAAAGAATAAAATATACTGTACAATAAAGGTATATTTGTAAATTTTATTTCACTTGTACAAAATTGTAGAAAAAATAGTACATAATACTGTACCACTGGGGCGGAACTAGGGGGGTGAAGCCGGGGATTGATCCCAGGGCGTAAAATTTTAGTGGGCGTAATTTTTCTTTAGTTCTTTATTTAATGCTTGGTGATAGAAGTTAAGAAAACATTTTTATTTCACATTATTTGTTTATGATGTTGTAGTGAAGACGTTGGAATTAATGAAAAAAATAAAATAAAGTTAATAGTAAGATTATGAATAGATTCGTATTAGTATACTAAGTATATACTGGTATACTGGCATTAGCATACCTACTGCAAGCATATACAACTAATATACTATAATTATTAAGATTCTGAGTGAAAATGTAACTATAGTAATTATACCTATGCATTTATTGATGCTGTGTTTTCGTTAAAATTTCTGATCCTACATAGTAACTGTTATAAGATTATCAATCAACGTACGATACGTATATTATATCTGTATATTAAAAATGATGTTAATATATTATAGTTTATAATATTATATATTATAATATTTACCAAGATAGTTATACATTTGTTTATGTTTAAAAAAAAGATTTGATTTTAAATATTTACTTTTTCATTTTTTCTATTATAAATTGTTTAATTAAATACAATTTTTTACTGGCCTAAATTGTGTACCCTAATCAGAATAAAAGATTTTATATTTTACCATAAAAATCTATTATAATTTAAGGCTGAGGCGCATAGAACCAAAACAGCAAAAGTGTTTACAATTTTTATACAGGATAGGTAGCCAGGTAGGTAATTAAAGTTTTGATTATTTTTCAACATTTGTATATAACTAATATTATTATTATTTCTAATAATAAATACAATTAAGTAACCAATACAGTATTTCCAGTAATTAAAAATGTATCAACAATATGTTGACTAAGTTTTTAAATTTAAAGTGTTTTTGGTGTGATAGTTTATTAGTATAAACTTGGTTACACCACAGTCCACAGAATATATTAATTATTATATATTATTATGTGTTTAAAAGTTAATAAGTATGTTTGTAATTTTAGTTCCAGTTATGATAAAACAATTGTAGGGAATGATATTGTATTTTCAATCTTGGTCTATGATTGGGCTTAATTTTAATATTTTCCCCGGGCGTAAAAATTCTTAGTTCCGCCTCTGGCAGTGTACCATTGAAAGTTGAATTAGTTCAACTTTTGGCAAAGGGAGTGCTGGGGAAACGTTTCTGCGGCAATATTTTCCAGCACGCGCATGGCAAAAACGGGTTTTCTCGTGATTGGGGGGGTATAAAAAAATGTATTTTGCTTGTACAAAATTGTACATAAAATAGTACATAATACTGTCAACTTTTGGTATTAAAATTTGAAAGTGGCAGTGCTGGCGAAACGGAGCTATACGATGTTATAACAATGCGAACAAGTCCAAAAAAATACGATATCATTTTACGATTATTATTTTGTTCGACGAATTGACATAAATGCCGAAAACTCGTCGTTAGAACACGGAGTGTGTGTGTTAATATTTCAATGGCTCGCGGTTTTTGGCCTTATCGTCACTTTATTATTTTGTTTTTCGTTCATTGTGTCAACTTAGAGAAGAAGACGATTTAGAATATTTTTTCAAAGGTGTGTATACTGCAGTGTACACATGTAATATAAGAAAATCAGTATAATATACCTCTTCAAATTTTAAAAATCAAATTATATTTATAAAATGACGAACATTTTTAACGGCTCTTTAAAATCAGGAAAATTTTGTATATTGTAATTTTTGGCTCTTCCGTCAAAAAAGACTGCCCTAGACCTGACTGTAACGTATGCAATGTAGAAATTCATAACAACAAGAACAATAATAATTATAAACTACTCTTATTTTGTTTATCGTATCTATCGGTTACGGTTTTGTTGTGGTTCAGTCGTGGGTGACCAGCATACGCGATAATAATATTACAGTAATTTTCGTAATAAATAATACATTTCATTTATTTGGTAACCGATCGCAAACCTCCTAACCTTGTGACGGTGTCCAGTTGGATGCTAGATATATAAGCAGCCAGTCGGCCGTTTATGTCTGCGGAGGTCTGACGCACGGCTACCGCCCGAAATCACCGAATGGTGAAACCTGGATGGCCAGGAAGAAGGAAGGGATGCACACTGGAGAGAAGAAACCGTAGGGTGGCGAGCTACGAGTGCACCCACCCACTTACACCCACAACTGTTGTGTGGTGGTAGCAGTAGTAACGCCCCCAAACCAACCCTCGCGGTGCCGTGCGTGCTCTGGACCTTCGTAATTTTTTTTTTTGATAATTTAAAAATTTCCATTGTAGCAGTCCACCATAATATCATTATTATCATTTTTTCCTCAGTAATATACTTACTCTA